TTATTGTACTTCAGGTGAAGGCTTACAGAACAAATAGTTTCTCATGAAACAGTAGTACACATATTGTTTTATAACATTGGTTAACAACCCCGGGAATTGGTTTTAATAGGGACTTTTGGCTGCTATGCTAGGCTTCTTATAATGGGACTCCAGCATATGAAGGGTACACCTCACTTCCTATCTTGAACCAACTGCAAGGCAGGTAATAGTATTTCCCTTTTACAGATGAAGAAACTGAGGCTCAGATAAGTTGGTGAACTTTGCCCAGGATCGCTTGGCTAGTTAAGTAGAAGAGTCAAGATTCAAACTCAGGCATGTCTTTGCACAAAGCCAGTGTACTTTTTGCAACAGACAATGGACTCTTCAATCAGCTTATATGATCATAAAATTACCATTACTCCTTTCCCTTGTCCCCAAGCCCCATGAAGCCTTTCCCATCTCTCTGTCGCCAAACACCCTGACCTCCACAGGCTGGAAATAATTCACAGGTTCTTTGGAATCGTATCTGAGCCATTTTTATTGTACAGCTCTGTGCTCTTTGCATGTTTGTCCACAACACCGTGTCTCTTAGACCGCCAGACCCCTGAGGGGAGGGGCTGCAGCAGCATAATCCTCTCCATGGAATGCCTAGCTGACCTGTAGACATGTTTCTAAAGGAGAAACCAGTAGGAGACAGTTCCTCTTTCTACCTCATTTCTGTCCCTCTTCCCCTAGGCTTTATACCCTAGAGGCAGAAACAGGGCATGAGATTCATGAATGGGGAAGTCAGAGCAGGGCTAAGAGTCAAAGAGATAAGAAAGGGGAAGAACTAAAAATAGTACAGGGAATGGGGTCTGGGGGCAGATGGTGCAGATGGCTGGGGAGGGGCAAGGGGAGTCATACAGCTCAGGGTAGGGAAGGAGAGTGGAAAAAGACCAGGGGACAGGCCCTTTGGAGGGTTGACGTTACCAGCACTGAACAGGAAGACTGGCTCTGGGCCATGCACAAGGTTCTCCGCGCTGACTAGGGAGGCTGTGTGCATATGTGTGTGTGTGTGCGTGTGTGTGTGTGCTGGGGGAAGGGAGGCTATGTAACTTAGTGACTGAGCAGCAGGGGCTCAAGAAAGCTCCTGGACAGCCCTTCCCGTGCAGCCCCTGGGCACCTCCACCACGGCCGGTTCTGCCCATCAGGGCTTGAGAGTCACGTATTCCACTCCTTCCGGGGCTGGAGGCCGCTCCCCAGTCCCAAAATGAACCAGCTCTGAATAATGTATCCCCTCCTCGTCTTCTGGAACAGCTGAAGGCACATTCTCATAGTCGCCCTGAGAAAGTCACATCATGGTAAGCGTGGACTCTTGGTCACCAGTCTCCTACCGTCTGCTCTCTCTGCCTGTTCTGCTTAATTTCAGCTGAATGTCCAAGAGCCCAAGGAGGTGTCCTTTTGTTCAGAAACATGCTGTAGTCAGCATCTTTCTACCTCATTCCTGTCCCTCTTTCCCTGGGCTTTACCCCAGACGCAGAAGGTGTGGTCAGGCATGGGTGTGGTCAGACTTGGAGCATCTGACCACATCTGAGCAACCCTCCCCACTGTCCAGCCCTTGCCACTGCTGAAGCCCACCCAAGTCCTTCCCGTATAGGCCTCAATGCCGGGGCCAGACTCTAACTCTCCCACTCCCCCTGTAGCCCTGCCCTCTTACCACATGACGCTTCTGCACCACAGAGTAAGTGACCATGTCTTCCATATCTGGGGCACTGGCTGAAGTCCCCACATCACTGAGAGTGAGGCAAACAGATGACCACAAATGAAGCATTTCACACGAATGCCCCTTCTTTCAACTCCCCGAGTCCCCCAGCAGTGCCACGGTTGGCCTCCTTATCTAAAAGCAATTTGCTGTATCCCAAGTGCCTACTCCCCAACAAATAGCGACCCTATAGGACAGAGTAGAACTGCCCCATAGGGTTTCCAAGGAGTGCCTGCTGACTTGGAACTACCAACTTTTTGGTTAGCAGCGGAGCTCTTAACCACTGCATCACCAGGGCTCCAAAATGCTCACAATAGGAGCTAATAAATACGCACTGAATGAGCAAATGTACGTATGTATAGTGGAGTCTTGACCTTCATGATGAAGACTGGCCCTAGGCATACGTGCTCCTGGCTTGAAGAAACAGGTACCATTACTTGCCCAGAAGGTTGCTGAGGAGATGGAATAAGGTGACGGGGGGGGGATGGCAGTGCTTGGCATGGGCCTGGCACAAAGAGGGAAGGTGGAACAAGAGCTCTGTCTCCACGCCACTCCCAGGGTGCAGGTGTCACCTTCCCAACACCCTCAGTACCCAGCGCCTGGTATGTCCGTCTCGCCAACAGGAAAGCGCAAGGCAGCATAGCTAATGCCATCTTCCATTGCTGGATTATAACATCCTTGGGAGTGGGGCCCTTCAGAGAGGCAGACTCTTCTAACCTGGGAGAGAGGTAAGGTGTCAGCTCTAACCCCTCCTTTCCCCACCCCTAATTCCCTTCCCCTGGCCTCTGATGCCCCACATTACCCCCAGAGTACTTTTTACCAGCCCTCTTCACCTAGTTTCTTTGCTTGACTTCAAGGGTTCTGCCCTGAATCTCATCTTTCTCCCATCCTACCTTTTTATTCTTCACAAAGAAGCTCTGCCCACTGGAATTTTCCTGAAGTTCTTGCTGGCTTCGAATCTTCTTCCACCTGCAGAGATAAAGACATGCTCATTGAGGGTCAAGGGAATGGGACCTGGACCCTGTGGACTAGCATGCTGGGGGCTTTGGGATTGAGTAATGGAAGACGGGAATCAGCCAAGGAAGAGAGATGGAGGAGCTCACCTTCTGCAAAGCTTGACCCCCCAGACTGCCAGGATGAGGATGGACAGGCACGCCCCAATCCCCACAGCCGCTCTCTTGCCCATGGTCTTTGGGCTATCTGGCGGAGGAAAGAGGGCCGTCAGTCAATAAAATAAGAGCCAGCTCTGCCCAGAGGTGTTTGCTGGAAAGCATCCTCGATTTCTTTAGGCATCCAGCTACTGTCCTTCTTGCCTGCACGTCTCCTCCACGTACTGGGGGAGTGATGCAGAGAAAGAGGGAGAAGGCAGCTCCCATTGGGAGGAAAGGGCTAGTTCCTTCTCACGAGGCGCTGCTGCTTTGTGACAGACACACTAATAAATGAATGCAACCTCTTCAGAGGTTCCCCCCCAGGCAATCTGGCAATTCTATCAGAACTTAAAAAGCACCTGTCCTTTGACCCAGCAATTCCATGTAGGAGTTTATCCTGCTGCTATCTTGCAGGTGCGCCCAAAGTGAAAGACTACAAATAGCCTTGAGGAGACCTCTGGGTAGATAAATTACATGGCGCTCATACAATGGAATACAGTGCAGCCATTACAAAAAGAGGCAGGTCTCCAGGGTGTCTGAAAAGTCTGAAGAGGCAGGGAACACGTGTTTTTACACCATGTATTAGTTACAAATAACACGCTCAGGATGCTTTCCTTCAATCTCTAGCTTTGCAGGAAGAAATCCTCTAAACTTACAACTATGGCTCCAATCACTGATGTGTAAAACTACAATAAATCAGTGAGATACCTCCCCTATGTTTCCAGACTCTTTAGACATCTTGTATATGCACTGATGGAGCCCTGGTGGCTCAGTGGTTAAGAGCTCGGCTGCTAACCAAAAACTCGGCAGTTTAAATCCACCAGCCGCTCCTTGGAAACCCTATGGGGCCGTTCTACTCCATCCTATAGGGTCGCAATGAGTCAGAATCGACTTGAAGGCAACAGGTTTGGTTTTGAGGTGGGTTTTTTTGTGTTGTTGTTTGTTGTTTTTTAATGCACTGATACAGAACAATCTCCAAGTGGTATTATTTCGTGAAAAAAGAGAAGTCCAGGACTAAATGTGAGCTAGCCTACCACTTGTGTAGCAAAGAAGGGGGTATGAACATAGATCTATATATGTATGCTGTGCGTGTATAGATTCTCTGTAAAGATTCACAACAAACTGCTAACCATGGATATCTCTAAACTAAACTAAACTAAAGTTCTCAGGGATCAAGAGTAAGAGGTGTCTATCTTTCCATTATTTGCCTTTTTGTGCTATTTTAATTTTTTTTCTTACCATGTACTTGTGTTGTCTTTTTTAAAACCACCAAAATCTTAAAAGATAAAAACAAGCAGGATATCAAAGGTGAGACAGAGAGAGAGTCAAAGAGAAAGAACCCCGCTGAAGCTCAGGATGTCTGGAAGGGGGAGACAGCTTGGGAGGGAATCGTTCTAGAGGAAGTTGAGTCAGGAGAGGGAGGGAAAGAGAAAAACCAGTAAGAGGGACAGGGTGACCCTTGGGGGCAGGTGAGATGTGAGGCTGTGAAGCTGTAGCCAGGGGTTTGCCTCTGAGTAGGGTAGGCTGGGCTGGGTCTACAGGAAATGGGGAGAGGGGAGAAGAAAGGGAAAAAGTGCAGGGATGTCTGGGAGGCACAACCTTGAGGGGAAGCTGCAGAGGTGGTGGGGCCAGAGAAGAACATGAGAGGAAGTGGGAGAAGCCTTACAGTAGACAGTGAGGGTGCTGGGGGGCGACATGCTCACGCCCAGCCGGTTGGCCACCTGACACCGATAGGCACCCGAGTGTTCAACCTTTGTAGGCTCCAATTTCAGCATCTGACCAGCTTGATACAGTTTTTGGTTGTTCCAGTCAAACCAGGTGTACTGGGAGACAGAAGGGTTGGCATCGCTCTCACATGTCAGGACTGCATTCTTCCCCTCCATCACTCTGTCTTGTGGGTCAATGGACACCCGCAGCCTCCTAGGTGCATCTGTATGGGGAAGCGAAATCAGGATCTAGGTTGCCAGGCACCCACTCTTCTGTTTCTAGTTTCCAGCTCTGGGCACTCACACAGTACTTGGAGTATCCAGGCCGCAGATGTGGTCTCTCCTATGGAGTTGTTGACCGAGCAGCTGTAATGACCAGCATCTTCTGGGGAGATGGAGGCAAAGCTCAGATTTCGTCCTTCCTCCAGAAGGCCTCCATTTTTCTTCCAGAAGAAGTGGACATCTGTAGGGCGGCTGCTTGAGAAGTTACACTGCAGGAGGACCAGGTTCCCAGAGTGGATCTCAGTTTGGGGGCTGATCTTCAGGACCTTGACGTCTCGGGGGGCATCTGGAGAGCGAGGGCCTCAGGCTGACCTCTCGGTTCTCTCCCATCTTCCTGCCCCCAGTACCTCCTCTCCCCTCAGCCCTGAGGCCTGGCTCTCTCCCCACAATTCTCTGGGAAGACTCTGGCCCAGACTCCAGTCTCCTGGCCCTGAGATCCCCATATCCCAGCTGGGCGACCTCCTCCCAGATCCCTCTGCTCAGGTTACTCACAATGGACATCCAGTTTGATAGAGGGAGACTTCGAACACCAGCCATTACAGGCCTCACAGGCGATTGTCTTGGCATTCCAGGGAACTTTTCGAATCATCGACACATTAGGGAATGACTCATTCTTGAAGACATGCGTGCTCCATTTATATTCAGTAACTCCAGGGTTACTGGAATTGTAGTTACAGACCAGGGTCACATCGTCTCCTTCTCGAATTGGTGTGGGATTCTGAATCACCGTGGTCACCCCCTTGGGAGGATCTGGGGAGAAAAAAAAAAACAAAACAGAGGGGTAGGGGAAGAAAAGCCAAGTGTCCGTAAAACTTTTTCCCTCCTGCTTGCTGTCTGTCCCCTACCAGCTCCTGAATTCATCAAAGGAAAGCTAATGCTTCCCTCCTGCGTCTGTGTGAGGACAGAACCTTCCTCTGGCCATCTGGCTTTGGTATGATTTGAGGTACAGGGTGAGGCTGTCCAGGGACTTTGAGTAAGTAGTTAAGAGCACAGCTCTGGAGTCAGCATGTTAGACCCTGCCACTTAGAGCTGTGGGCCTTGGTTTGCTCCTAAGAGCACCCAACTCGGAATTGTCGCAAGGATAAAATGAGATGATGCCCTTAGAGCAGAACGTGGCACGTAGTAAACACTCAAAAATGTTAGCTGCTGGTGCTGCTGTGATTGTAGGTCCTGTTGTCTAGACCTCCAGGATTTGAGCCTCCCCATCAGTGCTCAGAGTCTCAGAGTCCAAGGATCAAATTTCTGGATTCTGTGTCCGGGGCTCAACCCAGTGCCAAGGGTCACTGTGTTGCAGAAGGTCCAACAATGGTAATGAGACATTTTGTTCTAGTTCTCCCGAAAACTTCAGGATTACTTCTGGGACTCTGCTACTGCTTAATGATGCTAAGCCTCTGTAGCCCTCACGGGGTCTAGGCATCTTGTCATTCATTCATTCAGCCAATACCTACTGAACACTTACCACATTCTAGATGCTGGGAATACAACCGTGAAAAAAAGACGAAAGCGCCTGCCCCTAGGAGCTTGCATGTTAGAAGACCCTGGCTTCTTACTTGATATCCATTATAGGACCGACGCATCTCCCTCCACTCCCCTCACTTCTATCCTTTCTCCCTAGAACCCAGGGGCAGTATCACTACTCACATTGTACATCCAACTCAGCTTCCGAGCCAACCTTTCCAGAACCGAGAATGTTTTCTGCCGAGCAGGAATAATTCCCCGCATTAGAGAGGAGGATGTTTGGGATCTGGAAATTCTTTTCTGTCCTTCCCTCAAGTTTTTTCCCATTGTGATACCAGGTGTAATTTGTTGGCGGAGGGCAGGCTACTGATATACAAGTCAGCTCCACCATCTCTTTCTCCTTTGCTGGCAAGGGGTTGATCTGAACTGTGGAAGGTTCTGGAGTAACTGAAAGAAGTGGCAGAGGCAACAGGTGGTGGTGAGGAGAGCCTTCGACCTGTGCAAGCCTCCACTCCTCACCTGCCAAGGGCTTTGGTTTCACCCTCCCCTGATCCCCACTAACTCCCTGCCTCCCCGCCCCCCAGCTCCGAGGGGGCTCACACTGCACTTGGAGGACCACGTCTTTCGAATCACTTGAGCCCACGTCATTGAAGGTATGACAGTGGTACTTTCCACTGTCCTCCTTGCTCACTGCTGACAGAGTTAGTCTGGTTGGCTCTTGCACCCTCAGCTCAGTGTTATCCTTGAACCAGGATATATTTTGGTGCTCTGGGTTGCTGCTGATGACATGACATGTGATAGTCACAGACTCTCCCACCTTGACAGTGGCTTCTTCGAGCTTGATCTCCAACTTCGGACGGTCTGCAGAGCAGAGGGCCGGCGGGGGGATTCTCAGAGGGTGGAAGGTGGTGAGAAGTGTCAGTGCTTTTATTCTGACTAAGCAGTGGCCTGCACAGGTGTGAATGTGTGTGCGGTCACTCACTGTTACCCTTGTCAGCAAGGCTGGGCTGCTCCAAGCACCCAGACGACTGTCACAGCCTCCCAACTGGTCTCTCTGCTTCTCTCTTCCCCCACAGACCGATCTGCACCAGCAGCCAGCAGGACTTTGTCACTCCCTGCTCAAAGCCATTCAGTGGAGTCCACACTTAGAACAACAAACAAGTCCCTTACCACAGCCCACATCATCTAATGTTCCCTTCCCACCCAGACTTAACTCCTGGGATGCACTGCGCTTCAGCCTCTCTGGCCCCCTTGCTCTGCCGTGCACACACCAAGCAAGTCCTCACCTCAGGGCCTTTGCACCTGCACTTTTCTCTTCCTGGAACTCTCTTCTCCCAAATACCTGCCTGCCTCAGTTTCTCCCTTTATTCGGGTCTCAGTTCACATGTTTACCTTCTTCAGAGAGGTCTCTGTCACCACCTCCTCCATCCTAACCCTGCTTTATTTTCTCTTTAATATCTTAATATATTCACATAACTGGTATTATATCCTGTATTTCTTTTTTTTAATCTATGTATTGTCTGTCTCTCTCACTGCATGTGGGAAAGACCTTTGTCGGTTTGTTCACTGCTGTATTGCCAGGAGCTGTCACAGGGCCTGACCACCTAGTAGGTATGCAATAAATGTTTATTGAATGAATGAGTGAGATACAGATGTGAATAATAATGATGTGAAAAATTTCCCTCCGGGGGTAGGGGGGGTGGGGAGCATAACTAGATAATCCCAAAATTATGTTGTGGATTGGGGATAGATTAGATCATTTTATTCTGTTAGTCCAGCATAGATGCTAAAATGAATCTGTTTCCTGGAACACTGGGGCTGACAACAGGGATGGAAGAGGGAACAAAGCTCTGCCTGAGCTATCTCTGGCTGTGGGTGACCACTGAAGATTATCTTTCTGTTTGTTATGGATTGAATTGTGTCCCCCCCAAAAAATGTGTGTCAGCTTGGCTAGTCCATGATTCCCAGTACTGTATGACTGTCTACCATTTTGTCATCTGATAAGATTTTCCTAAGTGTTGTAAATTCTACCTCTATGATGTTAATGAGGTGGGATAGGTGGCAGTTATATTAATGAGGAAGGACTCAATCTACAAGATTAGGTTGTGTCGTGAGTCAAGCTCTTTCTGGATATAAAAGAGAGAAGGGAGCAGAGAGACGGGGGCCTCATACCACCAAAAAACAAGAGCCTGGAGAATAGCGCATCCTTTGAAACCGGGGTCCCTGCACTGAGAAGCTCCTCAACCACGGGAAGATTGATGACAAGAACCTTCCTCCAGAGCTGACAGAGAGAGAAAGCCTTCCCCTGGACCTGACACCCTAAATTCGGACTTCTAGCCTCCTAGACTGTGAGAGAATAAATTTCTCTTTTGTTAAAGCCATCCACTGTGGTATTTCTGTTATAGCAGCACTAGATGACTAAGACACTGTTATTCTCCGTGCTGGGAAGAAGGTGATAAGGACCCCATCCTTTCCTTGGGAGCTTTGGGGAGACTCACGCTTCACATTCAGCCGCACCGTTTCCTGCGAGAGTATCTTCTCTGTGGTAAGATCCTTGAGCTGGCAGGTGAGGTTCTGCCCGTTGTGAGTCCAATGAGGCTGGAACGTGAGCTTGCTCTCCGTGGAGAGAATCTTGGTGCCCAGGGAGGTTGAGGTGACAGCCGGTGACTCCATTGACCATTGCAATTTGATCTGGTACCCAGGGCAGGCGAACTTCAGCGAGCAGGTCAGAGTGACTTCTCGGCGCTCTTGGATTTCCGGAGGGAGCTGAATGTGAAGTGGAGGAGGCTTTTCTGCAAAAGAGTAGGGACCCTGCTGGAGGCCTGGAAGACTGAGAACTGAGTATGTAGAAGTGCCTTACACTTGGCTTCAGACCTTCTGCCCCAAATAACGCCCCTCAGAAATCCCTGGCCAGTCCCTTCTACCTCTTTCCAGCCCTGCCTTTGTCTGCTTTGAATCACCTTTGTTCAGCTGAAATATTCTCTGAAAGGTCTTGTGGACACTAAACCTCCTTAGGGATTGTATCTCATACTTATTTCATTCTCACATTCGGACACTTGCTTTCTAAATGTTCTCAAGATTGCTTCTCCAGGGCCCGTAAGTGAAGTTTGTCGGTTTTGTTCAGCTTGTATTTCTTAGCTTGAATGACAAACTTGTATTTGTTCAATGGCCACAATATTGGAGACATGCAATTACAGCATTCCTGCAGTGGGATGGGCCGGTGTGTGGCCAGTCACAGCTCTCCCCAGGCCTGGACCACCCTCAGACTACAGGATCTGAAGCTGTTTCTCTCACTCTGGACGTAGGGCTGCTTGGAGCTGACCACTGAAGAAATAGGCTTGGACTGGAGTGACCAGACTGCCTAGGGCGAGGCCCCAGACTTATGTTAGATGGGTCATATCAAACTCCTATGTGTGTGTCATTCAGCCCATGCGAGGGCTAATTAGAAATAGAATTAGTCACAAACATTAACACACTTGGGAGATCTCACTTGAAAATGCAGATTTCCAGCTTCTCTTGAAAAACCGGAAGCTACGACCTGGATTCCTGTGCGCCGGAATAGGCAGGAACTGAAGGGCAGCCTCCTGCTGGAGGTGGTGTAAGTGCTCACACTCCAGGTTGCCACGGCCCCATTGTCAGGTTCTGCCCACATCACTCGCTGGCATCCCCTGCCTGGCCTCCACAAGCATCTCTGTTTGTTACCCCTGCTCCAGGAAGTCAGGATGTTTCCCAACTTCCTCTTCACCCTACTGAGATAGAAGTCCTCTTCCCCCAAAGTCTTACCAGAGACACTGAGGTTTATCTTTTCCATCCATTTTTGAGTTCCTGATACCATCCTCAGCCCCAGCTGACCACTGTCGGTGACGTGCACTGGCTCGATGCGCAGGCTGCAGTTGCTTTTGTGGTCTCCCAGGAATTGAACCCTCTCTGGGACAGTAGTAGCATTCTTGCTGCTGTAGAGGATGTTCCCTATAAAGTTCTTGGTGATGCTGTCATACGTAAAATTATGGTACAGGGTGAGGCTGTCCAGGGACTTTGAGTAAGCTGGGATTCTGTAGAGGCAGGGAATCCAGACACAAGCCCCTTCCCAGCTGTAGAGGGTGTCAGGGTGGTCAATGTTCCATGTAGATGAGTCAGAGAAAGCCAAGTATTCTGGAACCCATTACAATGATCAGAAAGCATTATTGCAGAGCATGGAGGGCTTTCAAAAGAATAAAGAATGCCCTCTGAGGACAGAGGGATAGATAGGGAGCTACTCAAAGAGAACAAGATGCGAAGAGAGAAGTATATATGTGAACTGCCTATCCCCACCCTCCCCCACATTTGCTCTTCTTTGCCCCAGATCTTTCCTCCTTATCCAGCTCCCACTGCCATCTCCAAACCCAAGTAGCAACCTAAGCCAAATCCTTACCGAGGAGCAGGAGCGAAGGGCCGAAGAGATGCATGGTATCCTGTCTAGGTGCGAGCCTGAACCAGGAAGAGTTTGCCTTTGAGACATCTGGTCACTTACTTCTTCCAAGATGGCTTTTCTTGCTCCCCCACTGAGCTCCAACCCCTTTTTCCAATCCTAGGGAGCCCATATCTGGTTGTATGATGGGGATGTAGAATTCCGGATATTCTTGGGCCTTTTCTGGATATGCTGTGACTCTCCTTTTGGCCTGAGAGCCCTGGAGAGCCAGCCTGTCTCTCTTCCCCAGCACCCAGTCTTAGGCTTATTCCATCCATCCATCCACCCACCCACCCACCCACCCAACCACACATCCACCCACCCACGCATCCACCCATCCATCCACCCACCCATCCAGCCATCTGTCTTAGGCTGGGTTCTCTAGAGAAGCAAAACCAGTAAAGCATATAAATATATATAGAGAGAGATTTATATCAAGGAAACAGCTCACACGATTGTAGAAGCTAGAACGTCCCAAGTCCGTGGATCAGGTTAGAGGTCCCTTCCAATTCATGCAGCCGCAGAAGGTGGTGAGCCCAAGATCGGCAGGTTGGAGAGCAGGCCCCCCCTCACAGGCTGTGAAGGTCGATGAATTCCAAGATTGGCAGGCAAGACCACAAGTTTTCTCCTGATTCACGTAGCTGCAGGGGCTGGTGAATCCAAGATCAGAAGGTCAAAGAGCAAGGCTTTGCTCACAGGCTGTGAAAATCGACGAATCCCAAGTTCAGCAGATAAGCTGACAGCTCAAGTCCCAAGAACCAGAGGTGAGACGACAGGAGGCAGCCGCAGGATCCAGAGTCAGCAAAAAGCCAGAACGTCTGCCTATATTCAGATGCAGGCCGCACCCACAAGGAAACTCCCCTTAATCTGATTGGCCACTCAGCATACTCAGCCATGGGAGTGATCATACACAAACACCGAGAATCATGGCCCAGCCAAGTTGACACAAAACCTCAACCATCACACCATCCATCCATCCATCCATCCATCCATCCATCCATCCATCTAACCATCCATCCACCTACCCACCCACCTACCTACCCATCTACCCATCCACCCATCCATCCATCCACCCACCCACCCATCCACCCATCCACCCACCCATCTATCCATCCATCCATCAATCCACCCATCGATCCACCCATCCATCCATCCACTGACCCATCCATCCATCCATCCATCATCCATCCATCCGAGTACCAATCCATTCATCCATCCATCCATCCATCCATCCACTCATCCATCCATCTATAATTTTATAAACTCCCTGTCCATGTCTCAGGTTTTCAGTGGAACAGATCAATAACAACCTCAAATGCCAGGCTCTAGGTAATTTGGAGCTCCCCCTGGGGCACCCAGTGAAGAAACTCATCTGGGTTGGGTGAAGGGTTTTACACAAGGGAGAGACTTGGTCAAACCTTGATTTTAAAGACCAAGAAAAAAAACCCAAACCAATTAAAAAAAAAAAAAAGTAGGGTGCCAGAAGGGCATTTAGAGGAGTCTAGAAGACTGTGGTCCAATGGTCCCACTCAGTTGCCCCCAGGGGCTGGACAGAAAATGTAAGTCAACCAGGTGGAGACAAGGTCAAGTCTTGTCTAAAGGCAGTGATTGTTTCAGTTCTAGCCAATTGTTCTCAAATGGGAACATAGGACCATCACTGCCCAATCTTTCATGAGACATAGGAAGCCAGATTTTCCTGTGAAATGCCCTGCTTTAAAAAAGCAAACAAACAAAATAAATAAATAAATAAAATGACTGTGCTGCCAAAAAAACTCTCTGTTGTCTGGAGGAACCCAAGAGTACCAATTTGCAACTCCTGCCTCACTGAATGCAGTGAGCTTGCCCTCCACCTTCCAAGACTTCTAAAAAACCAAACTCATTGCCATTGAGTCAATTCTGACTCATAGCGACTCCACAGGACAGAGTTGAACCACCCCATAGGGTTTCCAAGGCTGTAGGGTCGCTATGAATTGGAATTGACTCGACAGCAGTGAGTTTGGTTTTGGTTTTAATTTTAAGGAAGCAGACTGCCACATCCTTCTCCTGGGGAGTGGCCGGTGGGTTTCAACCACTGACCTTTTCGTTAGCAGCCGAGTGCTTAACCACTGTTCCACTGGGGCTCCTTTCCTAGACTTTTACATAGAGTTAAATTTACATAGAGTTAAATTTAAGTCCTAATTTACATGGTTGTGCCTGCTGTGCCAGCCCCCTGGGAACCTACAGGATGTGTCGACCAAGTGTGTCTCCTGTCCCAGCACAGGCTCATGCCCCTCCCACTGGCCCCACCAACATTTCCCACGCATCAATGCCACCCTCTTTGCTAGTGATCTCCTCGGTCTGCCTGGCTCATGCCGAGAACTGTTCATTAACCAGTATACCAGGAGTAGGGGAAGCTAAGCTGCTTGCTAAAAGCAGAAGGGGGGTTCTGGACTGGCCTGGCCTGAGCATGAATTAGGGAGGAGAGTCTGAAGCTGGAGAAGATTCTCCAGGCAGAACTGACACTGGTTCTGCAGGTGCTAATAGTGTTACACACAAAAAAGTCTCCAAGATCACATCTATTTGAGAAAAGCAGGTTTAAAAAGTTAAATAGAATGCTTAATGTAGGACTTTCCAAACCCTTTAATGAGCTTGTTTGTGCAACATAAATTTCCAAATGTGAGGGCTGGCATGGAGTGCCACAAAAACTTCGCAGGGGCAGTGTCCTGAGGAATGCACTTTGGGGTCTCCTCTAGGGTTCTCACAGGGCTGTGACAGGACTAGATTCCATTTCCTATGACAAACACTGCCCCTCTACCAACACCCACCTGCCGCAGTCTCATCAGGGCCTGGCTTGAGGACCCCAGAATGAGTGGGAGAGGGGGACTTCTCAGAGTAGGGCTTCATGCTCACCTCAGGGAGCTCCCAGAGAATCTCTGGAGAGTAAGAAGTAGGGCCCCAGGCCTAGTAATTAGAAGGCTGAGGAGGCAGGATGGGGCGTGGAGGCTAGGAACCATAGTCATTAAGCATGAAGGCTCAGGGCAAGGCTATGCTGTCCAGACCTGTGACCTGCTCAGCACAGGCCCATATAGGGTCTTGCAGGATCTCAAAGCTGGCTTTCCTGACTCCACTCTTCTCTACTGAGCATCCAAAGACCCATCCTACTCTTAGAAGACTCATCAGGCCCCGCAAGGGAGATGCCCAAAGACAA